TACATATATATACATATATAAATATTATTATATACTATGATATAATATAATATATAATATAATATGATATATTATATATTGTGATATAATATATAGTATAACATTATAAATTTTATATATGTATATATATGTATATATATAATTTATGTATGATTCCAATTTGGAAATGTTTTTCTCTCTTGCTCTCATTCCCTCTCTAGCTCACTCATTTTTCCTATCTCTTGCTTTCTCTTCAGACACCCATTCTTCTGTTTGCCATTTGCCTTTTATCTCTATCCTCAATGATTATTTTGATTATTTCTAGGCAGTGACATTTCAAATGATTGCTTGGTTTTTATGTTGCTTGTTCCAGTTTTAATACTAAAGTAGCATTTTTATATGAATAAAAACAAAGAAATCATTTCATAGAAAAAAGGTCTACTCTCTTTTAAATGCTTCTAAAGGAAATAGTCACTTGGCAAAGAGCATATCTTCTGACATTTTAAAGAAAATCCAACATAAGCTCACATTTCCCTAAAGTAAGCACTTGACGGTAATGGAGAAATAATTATATGGTTAGCTGAATAGGAGTAATAGCACTCAATAAGTCAATAACATTTGAAGCCCCATGTGAGACCCTCTCGATGAGCCCAAATTTCAGGCTATTTATTTCTGATTTCAGCTATCTGGGAAAGGAATCTCAGCCATGCTTCTGATCTGCTCCCTCTTGGAGTTCTGCATAAGTTGTACCATAATCTCTGTTGCCACCAACTAATCACCAATACAATCAGGGTGAGTTCAGCCTCTTCCCTGTCAAATACTCTGAGTATCTCCTGGAGAAATGCACACTAATGTGTCTGCTGACCCCAGTGTAAGCTCATTAGAGCCCACTTTATTCTTGATTCTGATTAAACCCAAATTTCAGGTATTTATTTATGTTTGTTTTTGTTAGAGATATTTTTGCAATAGGTCACTTGTATGTTCCCTGGAGGGGCAGAGACAGAGAGATCGAAAGCAAAAAGTCACCCCCCAAGAGAGACGACTATACCACAATCTCTTCTCCTCCATTCTCAAGATTTTGGGCACACATGTACACACATCAGACATGAGGTTCAGCCTCTGAGTTGGAGACTCTGATCTTGGCCATGCATGCACACATTTCAAGCTATGGGTCAGGGACTAAAACCGTGGTCAGCCATGTACGAGTTCAGCAACATAATTACTATGCCATCTGTTGGCCCCAGGAAAGCAAAATTTTAAATAGGATTATACAGTTGGCCATGTGGAAGTCCAGCGATGTAACTATTCCACCATCTGCTGATCGCTAGGTATTTATTTCTGATTTCAGGTGTCTGGGATTGGAATTTCAGCCATGCTGCTGATCTTCTCCCTCTTGGAGTTCTGCATAGCCTGTACCACAGTTTATTTTGCCAGGAAAAGAATCTGTTAAGGAGGCTAACAGGGTGAGTTCAGCCTCTTCCTTATCAAATAATATGCATATGTGCTGGAGAAGTACAGATTTACCTGTCTGCTAGATGTCAATGGGGGCTTATTAGAGCCCACTATATTCTTGATTCTGATTGGGCCAGGGGAGACTGAATTGGACTGCAATAACACGATTGCTTGTTTTCACTTATTCTTTCCAGTCTGTCCTGGTTATTTCAGCTGAGAATACAAACTGAGGAGTCAGCACCAAACTATTTATCCTTCAGCTCCTTCCAGAAATGAAGGTCTCCCAGCTTATACCCTTCGAATTTAAAGAAAAAGAGGCATCAGTCCAATGTCATGGGATAAAACTACTCTGTAGAAACTACCAAAGAAGCTGGTTTATACTGTCCAGGATGATCACTGAACTTTAAGGACTGAGAGTTGCTTTTAGATTCGTCACTAATGGTAACTGTATCTCCCCGTCACAGTTTCTTCCTGCACACCACTACTGCACGCTGGCAAAAATGAACATCAAAGGGACTGGAAATGACTCTGTAACTCTCTTAAAGTGACAGATTTCCCTGTTCATATTACCGTTTCTTCAATAAAATACCATTAGAAACAAAAGCGCATTTTTTGGGGAAAATATTTCTTTACAATTCATTTTGGCTTGATAATCATTGTGGAGCAGGAGGTCAGACAGAACCTCCCAGCAGACTGAGACAATGCCTAGATGGTAACGTGCAGAGTCTGTTTAGTCTATCAGGTTGCTCTAACAGAAACACCTGAGTGAGACAGAGATTTATAAAGAAAATAGGTTCATTTGGCTCATGATTCTGGTGGCTAGAAAGTCAGAAGGTATGGGGTTGGAATCTGGTCCCGTCACTACATGGTAGAAAGAAACAGGAAGGAAGGCAGTCATGCAAAATTGGAGCAGGAGAGATCTGTGTGCAGCCAGCTTGCTTTTACAACAACCCAGTGTTGGGGAGCTAACTAATGAAAACCTGTGCCCTCCCAAGAACTGGCATTGATTACTCCTGAGAGATCCACTCTCCCATGTCCCAGGTACTTCCTACTTGGCCACATCCCATCACGGGCCTTTGAGTATCCTCACATCATGAGATTTCAGGGGACACAATATTGGAACCACGGCAATGTCCAAATCCCTGGAGTTCCTTTACTCCTTCCCTCCTCTCCTTTCTGTACAGAAACCAAATGCCTAACAGCCCTGGATAAGGGTTGCACTATTCTGTACGTTGATGTCATCAAACATGTTGTCTTTTGGATATCTAAAAGGCTTTGCTATTTACAGAGCATTTTCATGTACTTTAAACTCATTTGTAATGAGGTGATTGCAGAACAAGGATGGTGCATTGAGGGTTTTCCACTTTGGTTTCAGATTTTCGTTTTCAGATGGGAGAAGTATGGGCAAGTTTAAAAGCCTGTGGGGATAATCTAGGGATGAATAGCAGTGTAATCATACAGAGATCAGAAACACAGATGGAGAACTCCCTGTTATAAGGGAGGACAGGTTCTCTACATGACAGAAGAAAGGGAGGTGTAATTGTTGCAAATGTTCATCGATTTGCAGTAATGGTAGTGAGTATATAAGGACGCTCCAAGATGATGGCTCGTGCCATCCCTGTCACAGTAGAGATGAGGTCATGTCCAAGGTGGTAGCCATAGTAGAGTCACAATATGGGGCAGAATAAGTAATGTGAGCAAATCATGAACATGGCAAATAAACTGATAAGAGAAACAAAGGAGAAATTCCTGCCTGTACTAAGGGCATGTTTGCAGAGATGATCACAATTTTACAATACAAACAATTGCTTCAGAAATGTGTGGCTGCTCAGATATGGACCCAGAAAAAACACCTAGTTAATTTCATTTGGGATTAGAAGTTTTTTTAAAATAGGATATTAAAAATAGCAAGGGACAAGAAAGCTTAGAACATTCTCTGGGACCAGCAGTTAGCGTAATGGCTATGTCGCTGGACTCCCAAGTAGTCAACCGCGGTTCGAGCCCCGGACCTGGTGTCTTAAACTCACGCCAGGTGCGTGTGCGTGTGTGCCCAAGATCTGGAGAGGAGAATGGAGGAGAAGGGATTACGACATGGTCATCCCCTCTGGGGGGTGATTTCTCACTTTCTATCTCTCTGTCTCTGTCTGGTGAGCACACACGCCCTATAGCAAAAACAAAAAAAAAAAAAAAAAAAAAAGGAAGAAAGCTTAGAACATTCTCAAAGTATTATCAAAAGAATGGACTGTGGCTTTTAAACTGGATTAGGAGAGAAGTAGAAAAATGTTTGAAAGACAGATTGATAAAAAGAAGTAAAATATCTGCCTTTCTCCAGTGAAATTTTTGTGAAATGGAAATGAGATAATGTTATTTGAAAATAGCAAAGTATTGCTCATTGTTGAAGGTTTAGAATTATTTAAAAAGCTTGTGGGGATGATACAAGGATAGAATAGGCAGAGAAATGGAAATCATGGATAAGTCAAAGAAGAATAGAGATTTTGCATCTGAGAAAGCAAATATTAGGTCATTGGAAAAGTCATGACACATTATTGCATAGAAAAACAGAAAAATATGTCTTGACTTTTCTGATAACCCAATATATTATGTCAGATGAGAGCATTATGCCAGATGAAAGTGAAATCATTTCAAGGTTCTTGGCCTGCCTTGGTCCCACGGCTCATCCACGTTTGGGATTAGAAATGCTGGGTCCTTCACCATGAACTCAGCAGCTCAGCAAAAGTGAAGATGTGAGCCATGGTCTGAGGGTCGAGGAACTAAATGGTGTCCTCAAAATGTCTGAAAGAGAGGGACATTATACACATGTAAAAATAAACAAATATAAACATGGCACTTGCTTTGGGGAAAAAAAGCATTTTCAGCAAAGTTGATTTTTTAAATAAACTAACAAATGAAAATATTTTATTTTAAATTTGCTTTAATAATAGCAGTAACAATAGTAGCAAATAATAAGCCTACTCTATGTGTTATACACAACTCTAGATTTTTTTTATTTCAACAGTATTTTTTGTGCAATTACATGACAGTCACAAAGCAGAGTTCTTTCTGAAGGTGGTTTAGAGGAAAGAAATGTTACGGGTACAGATTCCACAACTAGATTTAGATTGCTGGAGTTAGAACCTCGACTCTAACTATAAACTGCATGACCACAAACCAGACTTCAACTTCCACAAATCTCAGTATTCTCATCTGTTAAAATGGAAATAAAAATTACATAATATTGGATTATAACCTAAAGTATAAAATAAATATACATAAATTCATACTAATATACACAATTGAATAAATGAAGGGAAAATGCTCCATAGTAATGCAGTAATGCACTGCTCAAGAGAAACTGGATCCCACAGGGCTATCATGGTTCTAATCCCTGGCCTGGCCAGTCTGAAACACACATGACACATGGGCAAGTATCCAGGATCTGACTGGCTGGTGGACTGGGGAAAAAGATTGCAGCATGACCAGACCCAGAGTCTATTGGAGGGTCTGTTCTCTCTTTCTCTCTGTCTCTCTCTGTTACGTGTGTTCTATCATGAATAAAGGCAAAAAAATTAAATAAAATAGAGTGGGGAGAGAAAAATAAAATAGCAATGATATGCATACCATAGGGAAGTCAAAAATTTAAATAAAATCAGCAAAGGAAAGCACTTAACACATTGCCTTGTTGAACTAAATGTAAAAACATGCTGGTTTTTAAACTATTAACTAATATTTTTATTGAAGAATCAAATTTAAGTGATATGATAACCATATGAAAACTGAAAGCTACTGCATAGGTATGTTGAGTCATCAGTAAAGTCCTGACGTACTTTTTATGTTTCTCTATGCAAAAATATATCATGACTTTTCTGATGACCCAATATATGTGTGTCTGCATGTGCATAAATATATATATATACATTATACCTTATATAAATATACATATATATGTATCGTTATCCTAAAATAAACTCAGTTGCTTAGTTTCCCCACTTAACATAAATTTATTTCCACTTTTCTTATTAGGACTTTATAGTATTTACACAGAGGAAACACCTGTTTCTTCCTGTGTATAAGTAAAATGAAATTCTTTATAGCGGTTTGGACAAAATATTTGTCAGGACTTAAAGCCAACAGGATTCTTGTAGCGATCTTCCACAATGACTTTAAGAATATTTAATCTGGTATGTTAGTTCTAACACTGGCTCTAAGTCTGACCTGATGGCTTGAAACTCACGCCATGCGTGTGTGCCTGCATGTTTAAAATCCTGAGAGGAAAAGGGAGAAGAGATTGCCCCATGGCCATACCATCTGCAGGGTGATTTCTCACTTTCTGGCAAGCACAAATGCCACAGCAAAAATCTCTCTCTCTAAGGAAAGAGAAATAATTTTCCAATCTGAAAATTAATAAGGGTTGAACTGAAAGTTAAAGTATCTTTTCTAAAGGGCTTGGAATCCATGGTTCATTTCTGTCATAATGAGCCAGAGTAAAACTTCAGACTTATGTTACGATTATCAAGCAACAAGGGCCCAGAGAGAAGGCCACACTTCTTCCCAAAGGACTAAGGCTTCAACTTAAAAGTGTGTGTGTGTGTGTGTGTGTGTGTCTGTATATATACACACATATTCAAAATATTTTGAAAGATTGAAACCGTAGACCATCAGCACAAAAGACCCCAGGCTGAATGGTGCCAGAAACTTGATTATTTCTTTTTAGAATAGTAAATTATTACCTCAGGCTTGGCCAATCAAGAAGGCCTACCAGATGATCATACCCTCTTAAACCAATCATTGAATTGATCATGTGCCTGCGAATTCTGCTCTTAAACAAAAACTAAACCACATATGTAGGAAAAAAAAAAAATAACAATAACCCTGAGAACTACCTGTGCTCTCTGCCCCCACACATTGCAGCAAAGCTATACTTTCCTTCCTTTTTAAAAATAGCCTTGGGGCCAGCAGGTGGCGTGGTGGTTAGGGGAACTGGACTCCCACATGGCAGACAATAGTTCAAGTCCTGGACATGGCGACTTGCTTTCTCACTTTTCCTCTTTCTCTCCCTTTCTCTCACTCTGTCCCTCTCTGGTCAAAATTAAAAATAAATAAATAAATAAAGTTAAATAAAATATTGCTTAAAAAAATAGTCTTAAGTGATGTATTTTCAAGAACGAGGAATAAATTGTTTGTTGTAACTGATTTGGATATGCCTGCCTACCAGATACCTGATCTTGCAAGACAACCATTAAAGTCGTTTCTCTATACCTCATATTTCCATGTCCATTCTTTGTCATTGAACAGGTGAGTGCATTTTTCACAATATGGGCATGCATCTAGAATCTCTGTGACTCTGGGATGAATCCCCAATATAGGGAGAGATACATTCCACCCCATTCTGGAATGACCTGCTCTGTCTATAATCCCGAGCTTCAGTGGTAATGCAGATACATGAAAGACTTACTCTGAAGACAGTGGAAGCATTGCTGGGGAAGGATAATCTGTGGGTACACCATCCCACAAAGAAAACAGATGAAGACAGGCGAAGCAGATCCTGATATCTGCAATAAACCTCCAGTATGGAGGTTGAGTACACAAGGGAGACTC